AAGACCACGCATTCCTAGGCTTCGGCCACTTCTACCGACAGTTCATTCACGCCTTTTTGCGGCTTGCATGCGCCCTCACTACTCTCAGCAAAAAGAATATGCCCTTTGTATGGACTCCTGAATGTCAACGTGGTTTCAAACGATTGAAGAAAGCATTCACCACAGCCCCTGTTCTCGCCTACTTTCGATTTCCACAAAGAAGTAATCATCGTAACGGATGCCTCCGACCTCGTCTCTGCTGGTGTCATGATGCAAAAGGATGAGAGTGGACGCCTCCAGCCTGTTTCCTCCTATTCTCGCAAGCATAGTGCTGCCGAATGCAACAACAATATTCATGACAAGGAACCCATGGCTGTGGTCAGAGCCTGTGTAGAATGGCGATGTTACCTCCTTGGAAGACAGGTGACCATCTGGACGGAACACCTCAACCTCAAGCACTTCCCCACCAAGAGACTATTGAACAACCGATAGGGCCATTGGTCCGAATTCGTGTCCCAGATCAAGTACCAGCTCAAATACCAGATCAAGAACCAGATCAAGTACCAGCCTGGAAAGCTAAACTGCAAGGCCGATGCCTTGACCTGGTCGAAGAACGAGACACCAGAGAAGGTGGAGGAACGGAGAAGCTACCAGACCCAAGTGGTATTAAAGTCTCAGCCTCTGAATTTGTTGGCGAACATTACGCTCCATACTGGAGCGTCCCCTATTGAAGAGCTTTGGAAAGCGGACTATGAATCTGACACGATTCCAACTCAGGTCCTCCTCGGCCTTGACAAGAGTGACTGACATTCCCGCCTCCTATCTCTGAACGAATGCAAACATGAGAGACATTGCCTACTCTACCACGATCAGATTTACATTCCCTGGCACAACGAGTTGTGCCTCTGGCTGATACAAGATTCACACAATCAGCCTTCAGCAGGCCACCCTGGATGCGCCAAGACCCACGAGATTATGTCACGAGGTTACATTTGGCCTGCCATGAGGTGCGATATTGGGGGCTTCGTGGCCAATTGCCATGTATATCAATGAAGTCGGACCTCTCAGGACGCCCCCTTTGCTATCTTAGCCCACTGCCAATACCCAACTGCCCCCGGAAACATATATCCATGGACTTTGTTGCAGGTCTGCCTTGGAGACAAGGGAATGATGCTATCCTGGTAGTGGTGGACCGACTGTCTAAAATGTACCACCTGATCGCCTGTCATACCTCTATTCACGACCTGACCATGGCAGACCTGTATCTTCGCCATATCTGGAAATACCATGGCCTGCCAAAGACCATTACCACCAACCGAGGTACTCAGTTTACCACAGACTTCTGGAGAACTGTATATGAAAGGCTGCAGGTTGAACGAAAGATGTCCACAGCCTTTCACCTCTAAAGAGATGGCCAAACGGAAAGTGTCAATGCCATCATGAAACAGTACCTTCGAGTTTTGGTCAACTACCAACAGGACCACTGGTCCCTCTAGCTTCCTATGGCGGAGTTCGCAGCCAAGAACCATGCCTCATAATCTACTGGTTTCTCTCCTTTCTTTACCAACCATGGCTAAGACCCCCATATGGACTTCCTAGACACCCCCAATGAAGCCTCTGATGAATCCCAAGCAGGAACCTTTGTGGAAGGTGTCAAGGATATCCATGACCACCTGAGAACCAAGATCCGCTTTGCCCAGGATCGGCAACAAGAACATGCCAACAAGTGGCGGCTCCCGGCCCCTCACTTCCGGATTGGGGACCGTGTTTGGCTAAATGCCAAGAACATCCACACCAAATGACCCTCCCTAAAGCTCGACCACAAGCGTTTCAGCCCTTATCCTGTCCTCACCCTAATATAGACTCATGCCTACCAGTTCGACCTCCCACCTACCATGAAAATCCACAACTTGTTTCATGTCTCAGTCCATGACCTAGTCTCAGATGACCCCCTTCGGGGCCAAGAGATACTGCCGCCACCACCTGTGGAGGTCGATGGTGAGCAGGAGTATCAGGTAGAGGAGGTCTTAGATGGTAAGTTCGTCCCAACCCACCTACGTTACTTAATCCGTTGGAAGGGGACACCGAGGCTACCTGGGAGCGTGCCAACTCCATCAAGTTGCTGTCATACAAGGTAAATGGAGTCTATGAAGACTTGTCCATAACACTCTATACATCACTGCCGTCCGTCCGACCGGAAGCTGTTGGCAGGATATATGAGAGGGCTTAGGGGAGAAGGTCAGGTACCTTCTCCAAAAGGAACGTCGTAAAACACCCCAGAACTGACGGAGTTAGTGTGAGCCATCTAGAAGGGTCCCCAGAGTAGTCCCGGGAAGTACCAAGAGACATCTGGGATGGTTTTACTCCAATCAAGCATACACGTGCCCCTTTGCCATGGCCTCTTTGTGGGTTGTTTGAAGACTCTAAATGCCTGATACTTATTACGGTGAGTGGTGTGTGGGGGTAAGGGACCATGGGTAGCACCCATGGGTCCTCCTGCTGCCACAGCTCTCCATTGGAGTGTCGTAGACCTTCTAAGTTCACAATTAAGACCGATAGAACTTAACTGGAAGACAGCTGATGTCTACGGGTGCTTGCACAGGTCATAGCACACGGGAAGAGCGTCGTTTAGTTAGCTTTCCTAGGTGTCTCGAGAGTTAGCCACTGACGGGACTCCGACGCGTGGAGGTTTTCTCTTCAGCAGGTGTATTGGTAAACACCTCACAGGAACTGATGTGTATATAGGAGAATTCTGCTAGAGTGAGCTGATACCTTAGGCCCTTCAGGGACACAGTAGTGGTGCCGGCAACCCTTACGGACAAGAGTATGCTCATGTTGGTCGGGGTACCCTATTGGGGGAGTTTTTGGTGTAAGTCTAACTACTTAAAGATTATACGAGAACTCTCCTACCCCGACACAATCAACCACTGTTCAAATGTGTACAGTCCGGCACTATCTTAATAACTTTGTACGAAAATACGACACAGTAGAAGGACTATACTGCGGGCGCGCTAAGCGAGGAGGAGTTTTGTATGAAGGTAGATTGGTAGTAGTTCTTGTCCTTAATTCTCTTAAGCGAGATGGGTGGTAACCCCTATTTATACAGGTGCGCATCCTTCGCGTAACTAAGAGAAAATGTAAGGGAAAACATAAGTGTCGACGTGTTTGACCATAACATAAGTAGGAAAAACATAACTGCGAACGTGTTTGACCCTAAAGAACTGCCAAGGAAATCCCATAAACATGCGTAAATCTAAGATGGTGTGAACGGATAATTAAAACATATTTGTAAATCAAATGACCGATGACCGTGCATGATGATGCATAAAATGTAAGAAATAAATCCGAATACCAGATAAGAAAAGCACGCCATAATCCCCTAATCGTATCAAGAAATATCAATGAAATATACGTAATACATACTTCGCTGTAGTAATGTCCGTGAACTAGAAATAATACTAAGTAGAGGAATATACGATATTATCAAGGAGAATATACCTATGAAACGAATTAGAAAATTCAACAACCACCTCTTGAGAGACTTTAATTGAGATAAGCCAGAGCTTAACGATATTAAGTTTTACTGTTTACTTTTATTCTTTACACTTTGCAAGCGCTGTGTTCGCGAGATTCGAAGTTTAGTGCTGTCGCAACCTTAGGAACCATCTACCTGAGGGACTCCCCGTTACAGGTACAAAGAAAATCCTACTATGCAACCAAGAAAACCACACCTGATATGTGCAACCAAAAGTTCAATACCAAACCCTTCTCTATGACTGGGTGGCTGTGATATCTTCTTAGCTAGGCTTAGATTTCTTTCCTTTGAGGTGAGATGTGCTCTTAGCTCTATTACAGAGAAACTTGAGCGGTTGGCTTTTCCTGTAGTAGGAGGAGAGACATAGGTTTTTTGTCATCATAGCTAACACTTCTTACACTTTTTTATACCTTAAACACATAGTCAATGAGATAAACAAAAAACAAAAATCTCTTGCTTTAAGCTATCATCAGCAACTGGAGAAGAAATCTGATCAATATATTTGTTTTACTTTACTTCTATCTTAATAAGCCTTCTTAACTATCTCTGAGATACACAGATTATAGGGCTTTGTATATACTTGTTTGTCTTTAGAGTAATCTATCCCCTAACAGTTAAGTATAGTAAAAGATTCTATGTAATTCATAAATGGAAAGGAATAATTATATCTGTAGTCACACAAAGCTAAAACTTTAAAGCCTCGAGGAGGTGACTTACTAGGCTTGCTATGAATAAGGATAGTATGAGTTGATCTTCCAGTTAACTATATTATTATTTCATCCACAGTATGATTACTTGCTATGAATTGGAATAATTAATATCTTGTTTTGAATATGCTAGCTAATGGCTGAAATTTCTGGTACAACTGGATTTAGGGAAGGGACTGATAAGGTAGTAAAATAGAGAAGTATCTTTCAGTTACTCAAATTGATTCCCGTAAGAGAAATATTTCTATCCAATAAGAAGGAAAACTATTGTCATACCTCCAGTAATCTGATACCTGAGAGGATAGAAAAATACTCATATGGTTGATGATTCTAAAAAATAAAAGATTTAGCTCAGCAGCTGATGTCGGTTTCCAGGGATGTGATCTCGCATTTCCTGCACCCTTTATTGCTACATACTTATTTGTATTCTCAGCAAGTTGTTAGAATTCTGACTTATTAAAAATCTGCTGAAAATATCCTAATGTACCTCTTGTAACATTAAAATCAACTGGAAGTAGTACATGTTGGTCATGCTTAGGTGCAGGATAAACAAAGGCATCAAATTCAGGAATCAGAGGTAGTTGGGGAAGCTGTTGAAGCTCTCCGGTACTGTTTTTGCCTTGATTTTGTCTTCATTCCTCCTCTTCTTCCTCATTTACTCCAATAGTTATTCATATCTACATCCTCATGGTCAGCTCTCTCCATATCGATATACTCCTCTTACCTTGCAATTTCAGCTTCAATGTTGTCACTGTCGTATTGCTCTTCCTCTTCGGCCCTTGATAAAGTTGGTTGTTATCATACATGCTATCCAACCCACTTCTACTACCGTTGCCCTCCTATTAGCTGTGATCCAGCCTAGTCCTCATTTCACTTAATCACCATGTCATAAGCTTATTTTATTGTGTTTAGTTTTTGCTAATCACACCACAGATCTCATGCTAAAAAGCTGTGAAATTCGGCATCAAACGAAGGGATTGATTAAGCTACAGTATTCCCGAGGGACTTGCTTGTTTGTTTAATTATTTATTACCGACCATTATCCACCAGAGAACCGTAGAAAGATACTGTATCACCCAGGCTGATACCCGAATTGACTAGAATACCGACCGCCAGGGGCCGGTTTCCAGCCCGGCTCGGAGTCCGCGTGGGCCTTTGCTAGAAGAGAGGCGGCCTTTCGACGTTCGGTGGATTCGCGCAGCAACTTTTCCTCGCGGAGGGATTCCAGAGTCGGGTTTGGCGATTCGAATCTTGATCTCGTGTTCGATCTTGACTTGCACCGGTGGGACCGGGGATGGCGGGAGTGGGAATTGTGGCGGTCGTGGTGGCGGTCGTGACGATTTAGGTCATCGAGGTCGTGTCTGCGTCTGTGGCTACGGGAGTGGGAACTTGGGTGGGAGTGGGAGTGCCGCTTGCGGCTTGTGTCATGTCGACCTAAACCACCACTCCTGCTCCGGCTGCGGCTTCTACTCCTTCTCTTTCTATCGCCATTTCTCACACCCCTATCAGCTCGTTCATTCCCCTGGGCCCTTTCATCCTGCCCACCCCGCCAACCCCCGGCCCCGACCCCATCCACCTCCATCCCCCTCCTCCTCTTCCATTCCTCCCTGTCCCTGTGCGCCTCCTTCACCCCTCTAACCCCCCTCCTTATGACCCCCAACGGATCCCCTGCCTCTTTCCTCCTCCCTTCTCTCTTCCCCTCCCACTCCGTCTTTCTCCCATCTTGCTCCTTCTCCCTCTGCTGTCCAGACACAAGGTCAATACTTGAGTACCAAGGAAGTCTCTCCCCCACAACCCTTCCCATAGCCCCCTCCCCCCGTTCCTTCTCCTCTTTCCTCTCCCTATCCCTTTCCGGGTTACCACTTCGTGGCACCGCAGGGGTTGGGAAGAGGTTGATGTGTCCATCCACGCCCAAGATTCCGCCCTCCAGTGGCGGGCGAGGCCGGTGATCGCGAGCCCCCACACTACGGGCAGTCGGTTCCTCGGTTCCATGTTCTGGTTCCCCCTCCACCGCAGAATTCCCTCGTGTAGCTCGTTCGCGTAATAGCTTCATCCGAGCTTCCACATCCGTGGCCTGCATCCGCGCATCCTCCGCTGCCCCACGTGATGCGGCTTCCGCCTCATCGCGGCGCACGCGAGCAATATTCTCGGCCGAGTAGACATGGTAGGACTTGTGGTGGAGGAGATGGAGGGGCATGTTGTTGTTTGGCGTGGGGATTGGTCGTCGTGGAGGTTGAGGTTGGAGTCGGGGTTTCTGAACACTCATCTACCGTACTAGGTGCTGTGCATTTGGAAGCCGTGTTGCCAAGATGCCAAGACGCCAATACGCCAAGACTCCCCCTAAAATGGTTGGGGTTGC